TCAATTATCATTTTGTTTTCAAAATTCAAGCAGCAAGGAGCGCTCTTGTAGAAATGTAACTTTTTTTTGTAAGAAAGTATATTAATGGTTAAAGTGTAAACAATAAAGTAATTTTTAAAATTGTGTACTTACACCTTGGTTTAAAGGGAAATTCCATCTTGCTTATTGAATTAGATATGCTTATTTTACGAATTAAGTAACATAGACAAGGGGACAATAGTTGTCTCTTGTTTTATCTCTAACTTTTACATATACTACAAAACGACTGTTTCGCGGAGGTAAACAAAATGAGACAGTGCTTTAGCGCGACTGCCTGTGCGATAGAGACGGAGAAGGTAAGAGCGTAACGAAATGTGAAATGAAACTACTGTCCTCTCTTTCTACGATACATTAAAAAAAAAGGAAGCGTTATACAGAGTTTTGAAATTTTATTTATTTTTTGTATCAAGCGAACATCCCTGATAATTATTTTTTTTCGTTTATATGGTAGTTCTTTAAATTCCTGAAAACAAACAACTACAGGTTTAAAGTACATATTGCGCGACATCCTAGTAAAACCGTTAATTTTTATCAAATATTATTTGAATTTTATTATTAATATTCTATCTTTTATTGTTTATAAACATAAAGGAGTGAACATTTGTTAAAATAATACCGTGTACTTTATCTGTCAAGCCGTGGACCTGGTTGTGATAAACGTCGGTTAATCAACCTGTTTTCAATAACAAACAAATTGTGCCAACAATAAATAAAGTAACATGTTTATATTGTATGTATAAAAAAATAACTAAGTTGGACAGTATTTGTCAAAGCTTAGATATAATTTAGTAATTACATCGTCGGCTTTTGTTAAATTCTAATACCTACCTAACGGTATTTTTCTGCCACGAAGTGCTTTACCGTCCATAGTTCATATGTTTTAATTTCCTTTCTTTTTCCTTCGATATTGCCAGACTTTGGTGTGCAAGTTGAAATGTATATTTGTTTATCTACTATCAATATGTACTTTAAACAATTGTTTTTTGTACAATTGTTAAAATTACGAACAGAAGAAAGAGGTACGAAGGAACACAGACTAAAAATATTTAAATCTGTCATTAATATACTCTGTGCTAAGCATATTGGCATAGGCTGCTTTTTTAAAGTATGTATACAAATAAAAAGATCATCGTAAAGGGTTGCCTTCCTATCGATAAAATAATATCGAAGGTATATAGCAAACAATACTATTTTAAGTATACGAGTAAAAATAATAATTTACAAATAATATATATACAATTCAACATTATAGGGTTTATTTTCTACTTATACAAAGAATTAAGATAGTGATTAGACTTACGCTTACTTTAAAACACATGTAACAGTACCATAGTCATACATTACCTATGTAGACGTATGCATGTAGGTCTGATTCTATTCCGGTCAAGGTTCAGACCTTGTTTCAATATTATTCAATGTCCTAACGCTTGTAGGGGATTTCTTCCTATTCCATCTATATTATGTTCAATGGTATAACCATATTGCCAAGAAAGTGCTGCATTCAAAGCATAATCTTTGATTGTAGTGGGTATTTTTCATAAAACTTGAATTCACTTGTTTAATTACATTTTTCCAACTTGTACTTATTACGTAAGAAATAAACAGTATTGCTATATATATAATTTATTATACTGATATATATAGAGGTAAATTTTACCTTGAATTAATTTATGAAACTATTTTTATCCTTTGTTTGCAATGAGATTTACATCGATAAACAGGGTAGTTTGCGTGTCATTGTTGGCTAATATAAATAAAGATAAGGTCAAACTATATGAAGCGTGCTATCTACTTGTTATGGTAATTAATATTCTGAGAAGTTTTAAAAACAAAGTTATTCAAATACGATTTAATTTTTGTCGGATCCTGTTCATTGTTACGGACAAATTTATCAAAAAGCGGATTTTGCGGATGAAGGTTTAAAATATAGGCTTAAGTGTAAGTCTTGTGAGTAGAGTAGGAAGTAACAAATGACTATATGAACACTTTTAAACAATAATTGTAATTTATATTAAACAAAATCGGCATTTGTAACGGCTCCTCGCTTTGGAAACTATACATTGGGGTCAAGGTAATAAAAACACATGGTTTTTTCAGTATTTATAAATCACCTTTCGAATAAACTTACCGTATCCTATTTCGTGTCGAACAGTATTAGCCTTCACTATGACAGGCGTCTCTTTGTAGACTACCCCTGTTTCTTTTACGTTAGATTCATTGTCATCCTTAAAATATTCTTCGAACGTGTTCTCGTTAAAGAAATTGAAGTCAATAGCAGCTCGTTTCATAGTAGGAGTAGCACTACTTCTGATGTCAATTTCAAATTGTAACATTTTAGCTGGTGACATAACTTCAGCAATTGGCGATGGCTTTACGAATCCATCGTTTTCTCTTCCGGCGAGTGATTGTTTAAATAAATTAATTTGTTTACAGCGGTTAACTTCTTCTAGACATTTAGGCGTGTCAACGATCGGTGACTCATTTGAAATTGAAGGTTCGGTAATGGAAGATTTGTTTTGTGGTAGCGAAATAGGTGTCGCAGGTGTCTCAATTGAAGAATCCCTATCCCCAATTGTAACATTTTCACCGATATCATTTAAACAATCTAAATTCATACGAAATGTATCATCTGGCAAGTCTAAATTATCAGCCACAAACAGTTGGTTTGAAGTCGTTGAATCACTTCTTGGCAATTCTGAATTTTCCCTTAATGTGGTCTCCATTTTAGGATAATGTTTTCATACATTCATATAAAAAGTAATTATGTCCTTGAAATTATCTAACTGATCGATAAGCGCAAGAATACTACATCACTCGTTCACTCACACATATGCAATAATGTCTGTGTAAGCGTTAAATGTGTGCGTTAGCTGTCAGACAAGTTCTCTATCTATCTAGTAATATTTTCCCCAGAATTGTTAGAGCAAAAATTACATGTTGTAAGACAATTAAACGTGTCGTATTATCGTATTTATACAAACTGGGTAATATTTGTGCCTCTAGTCAATTGAGTATAACATTATCGCGCCATAGGTAATCTATAAATAGATTGGTATTATCGACACTTGCACTGATTTTGCCCGCTCTTTTTGTTCGTTCACTAGCACTATTGCTTAATATGATGTCCTAAGGTGTCAACACCTCACAATAACGTTCAAAAGGAGTAAACCAGTGTGTTTATTTAGTGAAAATATGGTTTATTAAACGTTTCTTGTGCGAGATACGACGCCGTACCGCGCTCTAAACGGCGACTGTATGACGTGCTAATGTCAACAAACAAGAATCGGCGCGAAGCAAGTTTTTCCTTAAAAAATCTTTATATTCACCGAAATAATTAATAAAAATATCATAAATGTAGTAAATTAAACAAGATAAACGTTTATCTAACTATTACTAGTTACATTTCAGTTATGGTTTCGTACAATTTGATTGTTTTAACGAATTCAAATATTGGCGCCCTTCCTATAACCTGTTGTGTGTTTCGCCATAATATTGGCTGTCAAATTTAGTATGTTTGACTAATAACAACTTTAATCCCTATAAAATAAGTTGAATATTCGTTGCGTAAAGAATATTGCCGATCTAGGCAGTGCCACCTCAATGAAATTGAGACAGGAAGATATGTCAAGGTTAAATGAAAAGATAACGTATACAGTTTGTATTAAATAAAATATATGTGGATGGGAATAATAGTAACTTTCTAAATAATTCTAAGTTTAACCAAGTAATATGTATTTGTAATCACAAAGTTTACTTATAACTCAAGATTTTAATATATATTTTGAAATAAGGCCCTTATAGTTAAATTGTTTAATGTTAACTAAGGTCTAAGGTTAGGTACAAATAATGACAACAAATAGGCATGACAAGGTTATTTATTGCTTAGATCTATCGCGTTTTCTTCTTTTTGCCACCAGCGCCATCTATTCTTCCGGCTTTGCGTTTGCCGCGGTTATTATCTGCCGCTCCGTTTACACTTTTCTTATTGAAGCGTTTTTTGTTCGACTTCTTTCCAAGAATGTTTTTGTTATATCCTTTGATCCAACGGTCTCTTTTTTCTTCCCATGCTAACTGTTTCACACTGGCGTTGTCTGTGTTTGACACTGCCTGACTTGAGCCTTGCTTTTTATTTGCGGCAGTTTCTTCCAGAAGGGTTGAGAATTCTTCAGCTGAAGCGAACAGTGAGCCGAGACTGTCACCTCCTTTAGAATAGAAAATTTTATTAAATCAAAAATTTACTTTTCTAACCATAGCTTCTTATTTGTTATAGGCAACTGTCATAATGTCTGAGCTAACATTTTATATAGTCTTTACAGATTATGTTATTTAGAATTATTACCTTTAATTTTCAATTTCTTTCCCTTAGCCGATTTCTTTCCTGGCACGTCAATTACATCATCATCTTCATCACTATTATCTAGTTGCCACTCTAAAAAAAATATATTATTTAATGGTGATATCTAGATTTGTATTTATGTGTATGTTTGTAATGGATAAACTCAAAAACGAATATATCTTTTTCTACAAAAAAAATATTTTAATTTGATAAAAGATCTTTTATAAATCATATTACGGTACGGCTTGCGGGTGATAGCATGTAATAACTTTGTACTCATTCCTGCTTACCATTTTCTTCACCAGATAAAGCCGGTTCATCTTCATCACCGGATATATTTAGTTCACCGTCGCTGTCATCTAAGTAGAAAAAGAAAAATAAATCAACAAACTGGTGAAAATATAATTAAATGAGATGGCTCTTTTTTATTTGGAAATAACTTTTTCAAATGAATGTGTATATTTTATTTACCATCGTCAATTGGCAACTCATCGTCTTCGCCTCCTACATCATCGTCTTCATCATCCCCTTCAAGTTCTTCTTCACTCATGTCTTCTCCTTTCTTTGGTTTCTGTTGTAAAGAGGCTTGCATCTCAGAAAGGTAGTCTAGTTCCTCTTCGTCAGATTCTAAAAACATTTACATCAGCATTAAAGATGCATGATTGAGATGATTACATATGCGCAATCTTTTGGTCATAATATTTATTCATTGCATTCTTGCACTTAAATTATCTTAATTGACCTAAGGACCTAGATTTTTGACTGGGAAGTGTTCTTACCAAACACTTGGTGCATTTCTCCAGACCTAATAAGGCTGTCGTCCATTTTTGCTTTCGATATTAGTAAATCCACAGACATTAATTTAACAACCAATTTTACATTGAATAGCTTTCGTCGATCTGTGGACGCTGGTGACTAGAACCTCTAATTTATTCAAATTATACAAATCCAGTGGTAATACAACTAACGACTCGTTGATTTTTAGCTGTAACTTGCTAACTCTGTATCAAGGAGCGTAAATAGTCAAATTAATTTAACTCACCCTGTGCTTTAGTCCCTGTCATTTTATCGAGATATTGATTAAAGTCCTCGCTCGTGACTGAATCATTGTCACTATCGTCATCTGAATCGGCTTCGGTGCGGCGTTTTTTTAAAAAGCTGTAAAAAATAAATAATTAGTATATATCATTTTTATAAGCAAAACTCTCAGATGAGCCCAGTGTTTGAAGTGCGAAGTGTGATCCCCTTGTGCGTAGGTCCCGGTCTATCAAAAAATTATGTGGCGGAAGTCTTTTAACCGCCAACTCGCACTGGAGTTATGGGTGGTGTGTTCAAGATCCTCAATCCTATATAAGAGGATATTTTTGCCCAGCAGTGGGACAGTAAAAGGGTGAAGCGATAGTGCAGTTCAAATCACAACTAGAAGTAGAGATTAAATTAGTTTTTGTTATTGCTTTAAAAGGGGACTTTATAAGATTACCAAATTATTTATTTGGTATACAGAGTGTAATTTTAAGGTTAAATGTTCTAGATATGTCATTATATAAATTTAAACAGCCATTATTGTTTAAAACCCATTAAATTATAAAAAGGATTATCTGTGATGGAACAATACTATCACAATAAAATACATAACTGACACAAATTTTCCTTTTGCCTTAGTATGTAATGTAAAAACAATGAAAAATACATACTCATATAAAAATTGCTCATCAACTGGAATTTTCGAAACGTCCTCATTTAAGTATGATGCGGAATTGACTGGTATACTTCTTAAACCTGGAAGAATTTAAACAAAGCTCAGAATACATATACAACATATATATACAATAAGATTCCTTATTTCTACATACCTTTAGGAGTATAATTCTTCCTAATAGCAAACTTAGGATGTGATCCTTTGACTTTCTTTAATTCGTTCTCTTGTGGCTTCTCTGTCGGTTTCTTTGGGTTCTTAAACACAAAGCGGTCCAGGAATCGAATACCGGAGAAGTCTTTTAGTGGGTCACCACTATACTGTATTATTTGATCTGAAATAAAATAAAGCATTTTGTTACTAAAAAACTAATATTTTTATTTTTCACACAATGAGTTAAAAGGCATTGTATTGAGAGTGCTGGGTTTGAATTCTGTTAAACGTAATACATACACAATGAATTAATATTTGTTGCTTGCTTGAAAATAACATCAGTGGAACGAATACAGAAATGTGTCTTACCTTTTAATAAAATAAATGGCTTATTTAAGCTGTCCTACTGTAATGTAGCTTCAAATGAGTAGACAGTAGCGAAGCTAAGTAGCTTAGATGTTAATAATAATATAAGCCTTTACTTCTTTAGTCATATTTTTTTAATCAACAACCGGTATATCCATTTATCTCTCTATGGTAGAAGCCTTCCAACTTCCTCCACTCGGCTCTTGGTGTTGCCATAGCTTATTTGATAGGGCAATTTACATTATATGTGTAATAGTAAAAAGGTAACAAATATCTATGTAGACTTACTATTGATGAGTCGTTGAGCGAACAATTTGACAGTTGGATGAAAATGTGTAGTGAGTGGCAAAAGTTCGAAATAGGCACTACAACTAGCGCCACAATATGCCGGATTTCGAGCGAAAGGGTTGTACTCCAATATTACCTGGAAAAAAAATGTAATATTTACGTGATTGCGAAACGTCGGGAACCATTTCTCAAATACGATAGTTGAACAGCTTATAGAACAATGTAATTTAAAGAATCACTTAGGTTTAAAACGCAACATATATTGGTTAACTTTTTTGAAAATATTTCAGGGCTTCGGCTGCTGCAATGCATCGGCGGGCGCGTTTTAAACCGTAAGTGTTTTAGTATAACGTACTCCTCGCTTAAACTACAGACAGTATTTAAGTTGAAGACAATATTATGTTAGACAATTTAGGTATTATATTCTTTTTCGTAGTAGTGATAGTCTATGTTTCTTGCTAGCTTTTAAAGGAAGCTTTCAGTAAGTAAATAACAAGACAGCTCTTTGCGTGATCAAGACATAAATATTTGTAAACAATGACTGGCTTACAGTAGTGACCCAAAGTACCATTTTCTTAGTGGGGGTAAAAATGTATCTAATTCGCGTTTTAAATTGTTAGATGTTTTGGTTTTGAATATGTACCGAAACAGGAACCTATAGATACAATATAATATTTACTGATGTTGTACAGTAGTCATAATATGCTAAATGGAAAATTTTGTACAACAATGAAATATCTTACTTTTTGCATGTTAATAGTTTTTTTCAGCTGCTTTTTCGTCTCCATCTCCTTATCTTCAGAAACTTCCTCAGTTTTTACTTTGGCATGATACCATCCACTCACAGCCGAGGCTGCTCTTTTTTTCGGCTTTATATTTCCTTCGTCATCTATTTTCAAATCCACGTAGGCCTCTTCCTCGTCATCTGTCAACAAATTAAAACTAATATACTGTCACATGGTGCAAGTACAACGCCTAGTAAGTTTATATAATTTGAAGAGCACTAACCAATCAATAGATCCTTTTTATCTCCTATCAATAAATCAACTTTCTTCGAGTCCTTCTCCTCTTCTCTCTCTTTATTTGTAACATCTCTGTTTTCTTCCGTGATCGATATCTGTGATTCTTCTGCTTCAGCATTTTCTTCAATGAACCCTGTTTCTGTGTCATTTTCTTTTTTCTCTACCTGCAATCATAAAAATTTAGAAAATTACAGAAAAAAACTTATCAAATATTAAATTTAGTAGTTTCACATACTTCGTCAAGTTCCTTCTTAGTCCACACCAATTTGATGGCATCCTTCTTCTTAGCATCTTTGAGTACCTGCGATATCAAAAACAACATTCCGCAGGCCTGTCCGGGAGTCATATAGCAACATAGCTGTAGTAGTCGCTTAATAAACGCGATCAATCTATCTATATTTGTGTCCTGCCTTAATGACTTGTATATGAGAGAGAAAAGAAGTGCCGAGTGAGATGTACTAAATATCTCTGCGTTTATCAATTTCTTGTACAGTGCTGAATAATATCTGAAAATAAATTTATTATAAGTCTATTTCAGTTACAAAGTTTTTATTATTATTATCGATCGGAGACACCTATAGAAGGCTGGGTATCAGTCCATACTATCACCCATTTCCCCAAAAAAACGGAAATTAAGTTGGAAACCTAACATTAGTATCAAAAAAAAAAAAACAATTTATGTTTTAATTAATTATAAATATATATTCATAAATACATATATCGTTTATAGAAACATTTATGAAACAAGTATGAGGTTTAATAACTCAATCCCTATCACTAGCACCTTTAGAGGCATCGCTGACATGGTAGAGAAGTGCTAACGCATGAATGGCGACGTTGATACCAGCAAGATGAACCAACTTATGTATAGCATCTATGTGAGCTGATGTATCCGCCAGTCGCTCCTTGTCGGCGAATGGATATGCGCGTTTGACGCCGGTCAGGATAGCCGACATAAGCCGCGAATCAATTTCACCCTGTGATATTAAAAAAAAACTAAACAAACCTATATAATTTCGAAATATTGTTTGCCTTACGTGGGGTAAATATCAAACACACTTAGGTGTCTGTTAAAATGATGCGGAAGATCTTTTTTGTAGCTATATTAAAACGGTTTAATCAGATTAAATAGTGAAATATATTATATTTATTCTGCACTAGGATCCGACTTTTTGAATCCTTTGCTTTTAAAATGGCTAACATTGTTATAAGAAGTAATATCGGATAGTTTTTGTATGAAGTAAAACAACACACAAGACATCTAGTGATACATAAATAATAAGATAACATTACCTTTTTAATTGAAGCTTTGAAGAACGAAAAATATATCCTAATAAGACCTTCAGCTATTTTAGAGTCATCTTTACCAAGATAAAACTGATTTAAGAAGCAAACTCCATAATATTGCGCACGCGGCGATATGTTCGAACTGAAATTATATTAATTGTTTTAATTATGCGCTTCAAAAATGCGTTTTCGATTACAATTACTACAGCAATACCGACCGAAAGAGCATCTTCTCAATTTCAGCCAGAACAACACTCTTCATGTTCGGATGATTATAGAGTAACTGACACAGATGATATATCACTTTTGAAGCAACTGTTTGCGATGGGTCACCCAACTTGTTGATGATATTCGTTAACAGCATCTGCAAATGTTTAAAATGTGTTAAACTTTTTACTTTACTTAAAACGGGGAAAGACATACCGTGGATTTCACTTGGTGGAAGCGGAGATACCCCAACTTTGTAACTTCTAAACAAGATACACAGTAGATTTCCCTTGGCTTCAGTCATTGGAAATTCAAAAAATGAAACCGAAACGCGGTTATTTCTCAGCGTTTTCATCATTGGTCATTTATCATAACAATAAACACTTCCGATAGTTAGGACTCTGACTTCTGTTTTAAATGTTTACATCTTTAATATTTTTCAAGACAAATTACCATATGTAAGCAGTGATTTTGTTTTCAGTTAAAAAGAATTTACCTTTTCTCGTTCAGGATGGTGCATCAGTAAATATGACATAGCACTGACTGCTTTCTCCTTGTTTGCATCGACGGAATCATGGGCAAATTTATTCAAAGCCTCCACATAGGCTGAAAGTATAAAAATAAAAAGTTAACCATATTTTTTTTAATGTAAAATTATATATATAAAATTGGGTGAAATGGTCAGCTGATGGTAAGGGCTGATCCTCCTGGCCTGCTGGTTGTCCCATATAGAAAATAAATAATAACTATAAAGATATGAATATAGAACATACTTCCATACAATTCCTTAACTTGATCTTCATAGTACCACAGCTTAAGAATATTCCTACGCAACTGTCTATTACCAGATGTCATTTCATCTAAATGGCCAAGAGGGTGTTGGTCAAATGTACGTAATTTCACATCTGGTATTAACAAATCAGCTGTAAAAAGCTCTGATAAGGCATCTGTAAAGAAGAATCTTATATTTATTTATATTAGACATAGACTTAGACAACATCCAAAATTTCGTAAATATTTATTGTTTTAGATAAATTCAATGAAGCATGTCAACTGTACTAACAACCGTTCCATGCCATTGATATTGAAACAATGTACAGTAATAGGAAGCATTAGCAATTATCTAAGTCAACACTGAAAAAATTTGGATAGAGTAACAGTTAGAAGTGAAGTAACAAGCAAAAATACTATATGAAAGAGAATCCTTTGCTTTGTCAATCACATACCTATAATAATTATTCCATCCTTTTTCTTTGCTGGTTTTACATTATTTACTAAATTTCTTAGGGCTGTTAAGTTGTGCACTGGGTTATCCTACAACATAGAAACATTTTTAATTAGCAATATCCAAAGACATAGTGGCCTAATTTTCTAGACTAAATTTCTTCAGTACCCACCTGTATAAGGATTGTTGCAGCTGCTACTCTATCTCCAATTGTACCTTTATTAAGGAGAGTTTTGGCCCACTGATAATCGGAAGAACCAGACTTACTGGATTCTGAAAAAGCAAGTAATCAATGTTAAGTCCAAGTGATTACAATTAATACATTAATTTTTTATAGTGATCTTTCAACTTACTTGTTTCATAGGCTAAAGTATCGCCATGGAGAGCACTACTTGCTTCTTTCTTACAATTTTCAAGATCTATATGTGATAGTGTTTTAGAAATTGTTGATGGCTCTTCAGGCATCTAAACAAATCAAAGAGAATAACAATTAATAATGATTGTCGATCTAGTTCAAAGCATGTTTATCCATAATATTTACCTGTTGGTACCAATGCTTTTTCTCCCCATATTCAATCGACTCCGCAAAGTTTTTAGCTATACCATAACCTTTTTTATGATCGGCATTCTTGTCCTCTTTACCATGGCTTGTGTATGCTTCGTCTATTAATATATTTTCTTCAAATCTAATATGTTTACTCATTTTGATGTCTTGCTTAGTTTCAACGTTAACTCATAATCCCCAGCGTTATAAACACGTGAAATGTGAATAACATAAAAATGTTCACAGGTATTTAAAAAATAAATGTGTGCCTGTTATGACATTTCCGTGTGACAATTTACTACAGATGACATTTTTTGCACAGGATCTGGATATTCTATATCAGAACGGTAATATTATCTGTGGCTTTTTAATTGTAATTATTCTAAATGACAATACCTTTATAGAATTATGATAGCGGGGAAGGAAAAAAGGTCTTCGTGGGTGTTCCACGTGATGCTAATTGAAAATTTAATTTTAATTTTACAATTTAATTAATTTTACGTGATCATGGATGATCAAGGAAGAAAAGTTATTGTTTGTGATAATGGAACCGGTGTAAGTAATGGAACGGGAGTTAAACAATAATGGACGATATATTATCAAGTTTTCGATAAGGAATTAAAGAATGTTTTAAAATCTATTGCAGTTTGTAAAATGTGGATATGCAGGAAGCAATTTTCCAGCTTTCATTTTCCCATCGATGGTTGGAAGACCGATCATTAGAGCAGAAAATAAAATCGGTGAAATCGATGTCAAGGTATGAATCATTGAATTACACAGTGCAGTGAGTCTTTTATCATACAAACAAACGTGAAACGTGTGTCACAAGCTACAATTCAATTATTTTTTTATTTCGTAGCATAAGTACCAGTATGAGATCATTCAATGACTACCGAATTATATTATTAATAATTAACCAAGTTCAATAAACAATTTCACACCTGGCGTATTAAGCGTTATAAATATTATTTGTTACAACAAACATTTCAATTTACTCTATTTTACAGGATCTTTGTGTTGGTGTAAGTACTTTTTTGACAGTGCTGTAATGATTTTTTAAAGTTGAGCATGTACGTTTCACTAAAAAATGTGATGGCATGTCAATGTTTTAATATTCAAATTTTAATGTGAAATAACACGATTCTCTCAGTATAGATAATCAATTGTCGGAATTATTTGTGTATGAAAATTATGTTTATCTATAATTTAAAATAACCACACTACACAATTATATGTTGATTTTTTTCATAATACAAGTAAATTAGAAATGCATATACAACAAGAGAAAGTATGTTTTATTAATTTTGGTTTATAACTAGAGTAACAATTAACCCTTTCATGCTTGCCAGACGTTTGACCCTGAAGTTGTGCAGGTAACTGAAGACAAAAGTAGCTTGGTCTTAGCAACATAGTCACGTTGTTATATTGTCTGCCTAAAGTTTAGGGGTATAAAAGCACATTAAATTAAGCTCTCAGTAGATTTGCTATAAGGTCTTTATTTTATTATTAAAAACTTGCTAAGGGCTATGTGCTGCAAAAAAGTGTAAGCCATATTTATTATAATAGTTTACATTAAATAAAAAAAATCTTGTTCAAAATATGGTGTAACATATTAAAATGAAACTTCTTGAACAGATTAAAATGACATTTGTAATGTTGAATTACCATCTGACTGGGGCTGGGATTATCGGGGCTTTTCAAGAGCCGTGCCAAGCCAAAATCTGTGCACTTGTTAATTTTATAAATTAATATTTTTTCATTTCAGTTATATTAATGATTGAGATTAGTTTTTAAACTGTTTGCAATGTGATATTTTTTATAGGATTTGATGGTAGGTGATGAGGCTTCGCAACTCAGATCCATGCTTGAAGTTAGCTATCCTATGGAAAATGGGGTAAGCTGATTGAATTATATTTTCATAACATTTTGAGAATATTTTTTTTGTTATAAACATGTTTGATTGTGTTGAGCTAAGTGAGCCAATTCTGTGGGGTGGGGACTTAGGATCCTAAGAGTGACTTTGGCTGCTCTCCATTTGAATAAATTTTCAATATAAAATAATTTTTACATTAAATAAACTTTCAAGTAAAAATACCAAAGATATGTAGGGCGTTGGTAAAAAGTGTGTTTGAAATACATGCCATCAAATTCTGACAGTTTTTCTTGAAAAATCTAAGAATAATAGAGATATGTATTGGTGCACCTCTGGCAAACATAGCTCTTGTGAAAATAAGTATGAAAATGCTTTCAGGTGGTACGCAACTGGGAAGACATGTGCCACGTGTGGGATTACACATTTGGACCCAGCAAGATGAACATAGACCCGAAGGATACGAAAATTCTTCTCACAGAACCGCCAATGAACCCTACGAAAAATAGAGAAAAGATGATAGAAGTATGCTGCATATTGCATATTATTTATTAATTTAGCGTATATAATAATTTTCCTCTACAGTAAATATGTCTCTACCTTTCAGGTTATGTTCGAGAAGTATGGCTTTGATAGTGCATACATTGCTATACAAGCTGTCCTCACACTTTACGCTCAGGGATTAATTTCTGGAGTTGTGGTTGATTCAGGTATTTACAACAGCATATACAGCAGTTTAGGGTAAACAACTAATGCGAGAGATGTCCCAGTTCTGAATAGGAATGTTGACTGTAATCAAACATAAATTACCTTAAAAGCTTTTGGTAATTTCTGCTACAGAACTAATACAATGTTTCCGGGCTATGTCAAAAATTTTCAAAAATAGTCAACATCACTATTGTGATCATCACTTTAATGATAGCGGAGGACAGACACGCATGGAATTCTCTTGATGGGAAAATGCCCCAGCCATATAACATCCACACAAGATGCGTCGTCGACCTATTTTTTGGCTTTGGAGCTTGGGAATAGACGGTCCATATTGGTTCTCATTGTTTGGTGTAAATAATAAAATTGGTTTTTATAGGTGACGGTGTAACCCATATATGTCCAGTATATGAAGAGTTTGCGCTTCCTCATCTAACGAGACGTCTAGATATCGCCGGAAGAGATATCACTAGGTATCTCATTAAGGTAATTTTTTTGATAAATTGGGTGTTGATGCTAATTAATTACACTTAACATATACTTAAAGATGATAAAAATGTTGGTAAGATTCACTATTGACCTATTGTTTTTGGACTTTCGGAAATCCAGCGACAAGGCTTCTTCATCATGAACGGTGGTGTCGGATGGGATTTCCAAAATTAAGACCTACATGTTTCATAAACAATTGCTATGAATTGAATTAATATTAATATTATTTAACAAAACACTTTTAACGGTTTAAAACATATTATGCGACCACTGCTGGAAGAGAGTATCAGAGTTAACTTTACTACAGACAATTTAATTACGTTTTTTTTTCAGTTACTTCTTCTGCGTGGTTACGCCTTCAATCATTCAGCTGACTTTGAAACTGTGCGAATGATGAAGGAGAAATTATGCTACATTGGCTACAATGTGGAACAGGAGCAGAGACTTGCTTGGGAGACGACCGTTCTTGTGGAACCTTATGTGGTGAATAATTTATCTATGAGAATTTCTACATGTCCTGGTTTATCTTAAATTTAATGGCTATTCGCCCTTATATATTTTATGTAAATAACATCTTACTTACTATTCACATGTACTATAAAAAATAAAAGTACATATTAAGATGGCAGCTTAATTAGTTAATGCAGCAGCACGGATCGCTGGGGACGCAGGTTCAATTCCCGCCCGTGTCAAAGAATTTTTCCCATGTCAATGAATTGCACTATTTACATTACTTTAACATATTACATATACATTGTATACATAACATATACATTAACATTTTAAAGAGGTAGAATTGAAGACATGTACTATAATATTTTAATTTTACATAACATAATTTATATTACATAAAATATTGTAATTTTAATATAGTCAGTGCTAATAGTAGAGATAAACAAAATTGTTGGGTGTCTCATTAAAAGCTATACACAAAGATTCAGCTTGACCATTACGACGAATCTACGACAAAAATTCATGCTGTAACACTTAAATCCATGTAAATATTGCAGTTACCCGATGGTCGAGTCATCAAAGTTGGTGGTGAAAGGTTCGAAGCCCCAGAGGCACTCTTCCAGCCCCATCTGATCAACGTTGAGGGTCAGGGTATTGCTGAACTTGTCTTTAACACTATTCAGGTAATCTGATATATGTATGTTTGTTGATCAAACGTTATATTGTTATCTTCGACATGAAAAGAAGCATTTTTTTAGTCTGCGTAATTCTATTCTCATTACTAATAACGGGTCTACACTAATATTATAAAGTTGATGTCAAACACTAATCTCAGGAACGACTGGTTCGAATTGAAAATGTCTTTATTTGGATAGATGTATACATTCACACACATTTAGAAAGGTTATGAAAACAGTGGAAAATGTGGAAAGAAACGGGAAAAATTATTCATCTTCAGCTCAAGCAACAAGCAAAAGTTGTCGAAACCAAAAAATATGTATGACGGATGAACTATATATATACAGGCGGCCGAAGTCGCGGGCACAGCTACTATGTTATATATATTACTATAAAATAGCAATCAATTAACAATAAAACTAAAATTAATTGTGTACCTATGCATTTATAATTAGCTTTGATTTTCAGTCGGCAGATATAGACATGCGTAACGAATTATACAAGCATATCGTCTTGTCTGGCGGATCCACTATGTACCCGGGGCTGCCCTCTCGACTAGAGCGAGAGATCAAACAGCTCTACTTAGAGAGAGTTCTGAGGAATGACTGCGACAAACTCGCTGTAAGGAATATTGTTATTAAAATTAATACAATATGATTGCTAACAACTTAATAGCACTTATTTGTTTTCTAACAACTAAACGAGATGTGCTGTCGGCTTATTTTATCTTTAAATATTCGGAAATCCACAGACTGAAGCCGAAACGCGATTGAGCTTCGCGGCTTTTTCATCTCTGTACGGTGGTTTGTGACTCGGGTGGAATGTCGATATTACCCATCTAATATCCACATGAAGTCCAATGGACTCAAAATATGTTGGAGCCGGTAGGGGTCGAACCCGCAAGCTATTATTAGCCACACATTGATACCAACGAGCTCGTCAAAAATTTATTCTTGTGCCATGTCTAAGCTATGTAACGTAACTTATGGGTTTACTAAACTCCAAAATTACGTTCGTTATGTGAAATCTGGAAAAAAACATGGATGTTTTTTCTTAGCTCATAAAAGTACACACTACCTATTGTTATATGTTTTTGTATTTACACAAAACTTTTAATTTCCTCATAGAAATTCAAGATACGCATAGAGGATCCGCCCCGGCGTAAGGACATGGTGTTCATTGGGGGTGCTGTACTTGCTGAGGTCTGCAAGAACAGGGACAATTTCTGGCTCACCAACCAGGAGTATAAGGAACAGGTAATATACTGATATAAGGTTTTATCGTCGATCGTTCGACTTTTTATTTAAGCCACTTGGAAACAAAGACTATAATATAAATTGCACTTACACTGCAACGCAAATAATATTTACATATCCATAGTGTATTTTTTCTAACTTGGCATTTTTGATAAACAAACACACTATTTACATGTAATCGTGATATCCTCGTAAAGTTTACATAGATTAACACTAGAAACGTTTTGACATCAATAAAAATCCTTAAGATGAATTTCCTTAAATGGACAGATTAACATTTCTTTACTTTGACATTTACATAGAGATGGGATTTAGCAAAAGCAACGACAATGGTAGGAAGAAGTCCCTATCACGTACGATTGCTGAAGTTAAATAATAAATAAAAATAAAAGATATATAGACAAAAGTGACATTAAATGTCATTTGGTTCAGATGTAATCGATGTTTCTTTATTCCTGTGTCATCTGTGACAACAACGCTCTATAAAAGGTCATCGCTAGTTCTCTATGTTTTTAAAACCAGCCATATTTGTTGTAGTTAGAGAAAATAGACTATAGACCTGCGTGCCCATAAACTCACGACCCTATTAGATTTAATTTTTTTTTTTTCAGGGACTGTCATGTCTTCGTAAGTTGGGACCGCGAGCGAGTTAACTTGAAGTAATAAAATTGTATTTTATTGTCTACTTAATATATTTACTTTAAGATGAATTCATTCAGTAATATTCAACAAATTTTAGCATTTTTATGTGTATCAGTGCATTTGAGAATATATTATGAAGTTAAAACGTGAGAGATGAAAGTCAACTAATACATGCTTAACATAATAACAATTTATTATGTAACAAGTGAATGTAAACAGAAGTTGTTTTGCAAACAATACGTTTAGACAATGGAAGACTGTTTAATTTTGCATTTAATGTATTATTTCAATTATTAAAGAAATTATTGTATTAAACTTTTTTTATAAATAATTAAGGGAAAGATGTATCTTTTATTTTACCATTTTAAATCACACCTTTTTCATAATATGAATTTTTGTAAGATTAACTTATGTTAGTATTCGTACATAACTAAGGCCTTCTTTAGTAACCTGTTTGATGCTTTCTTACAAAACTGGGTCTTTCTGAAAACCATCTAAGTCAACGTCTATACCTAATGGTAGTCATAGTTATTTTAGGGCCTATTTATGTTCCGTTGGCGACATGTAAGACTTGGTAGCTCGGAACGTTATGGACGCCGGTTCAAGTCCTGCCCAAGGCTTATATTTTGAAATTTGTAATCGATTTTTAGGTTAAACAATACTTTTCAGACACCGGGTCTTTCCCAATACCAGCTTATTGACCGCGTACGTTTTACGCTAAGTGTACAACATGTGGTCTAATTTTTAATTATGAGTGATATTTCAGCGTGATAAATTAATTATGAAATGAAAATTGCCAATCAGAACGTCAATGTTTTCAATAACGAGCTGTTAATTTCTATTTCAAGCTATAAAAGAAGTTGCGAATTCTAATTTTTCACATCTAAAATGGCAGGACGAAGTTTATTTTTTATATTGTTTCTGTGTAGCTTAAGCGTTGGGATATTTGGAAAATTCGGCTTAAGGGACCATTCTCCGCGTTATCAGGATGTATGTGTTTTAGTTTTTTACAATATGCCTTAACAATTTCGTATTTAACATTTGGGATTTCAAAATTATTTCAGCTAAACGCAAGCGACGATGACGAGGTACGTATAAAAATTTTCTACGCTTTTTTTAAAGTTATCCTTTTTGCCATCAAATAACAGATGTTATTTTTATTAAATAAAACAATATAGTTTTAATTTAAAAATAGAAAATAAATTGAAAAAAAATTTGACTCGGACAGGACTAGAACCGGTATCGTCAGCGTTCCGTGCTGTTGAGTCGAAACATTTTTCAATTTATTTTCGATTTTTAAATTATATAGTGCCTTCATGGGCATAAACTTAAAACTATATTTGAAAAATATTAAATTTTTCAAATATAGTTTTAAGTTTAATTGATTAATTATCAATTTTGACTTGCAAGTAGTTGTTCATATTGAAGCTGTATGTTCCTTACACTCAAACCTAGGACTTCTCAGGCATAACGTAGCGTCAGGTAACGTGTTGGATCATTAAACCGACCTCGAAATTTAAGAATTCTTGTTATCCCGAAATTCTTATACTAATTGTATGGGATTCAATATAGTTTTATTTTTCTAGACTTTTCTATATTATATGTGAAAAAACTCCCTCTGTATACTGTAAATTTCAACTAATTACGTGCTCTTGCGCAATCTGTCACTTTCAGGTATCACCACACGTTGATATAGAGTACGAAGCTGAAGATGTAATCATTCTATTATTTAAATATTGATTGAAAAACATTTTTTTATTCCTTGAAGAGTTACTGAGTATTAATTTTTCAGGCTAACCAATCTCCACTGAATCCTAAGGGAAGACCAGTAAGTTGAAATGACGGAATAATAATTACATAAATGTGATAAAACTCAAACTCCATTGTCTTAATTGCGTTAAAGTTATTTAAGTTTGAAATGGATAGCATAGTTTGTGGTGGCTAGATACTGTCTAACGTTAATGTTAGAACAATTTAAAAAGGTCATGGGGAGACTACAGATAGTGTGGCGTCTCTGTTTAAATACTGTATTAATTAGAATGGGGAGATTGATCTTGTGGTTTATTTTAATATTTTTTTCAATTCTTTGACTTGACTTAAGAAAGAGGTTATTTTGGGTAAATTATGAAAGAGGTTATTTTGCGTAGAATTTCATTTGTTTTAATACTATTTCTCACCACAGATTCAAAAAGCAAAGATCTGCATTATGACACCGTTTAAAAAATACTGCGTCGGCGAGCAACATGGACTGTGACGTATAGAATATTAGTCCACTTCATCCATCCAAATTTTTCTTTGTTTCCTGCCAATGTAAACAAATCTTTTTCAAATATGAATTGCCGTTTTATTTGGTCTCTTTTTAATCTAGCGGTTCTTGAAGACATGAGAATTAGTGCTAATACACGGCATGTATTTATACGTACGGCATATAATAATATATAGAGAATTTATCGAGAATGGCTTAGGAAAATTATTCATCTTTAGAGGACTTTTAATGTCTGTGACAGCATAGTTCTAGAACTGTGCAAACATCGTCGCAACGTTGTTGGCACTGTCGAAGAATAAAACAATAGAAGTGGTTTGACTGTATGTTAAAGATTGTATGTATTATATTTTGGGCCAAGGTAGACCTCGTGGCCAAGGACTGGAAGCCCCACCCCCTTGTTACCACGAGGCGCCAGAACACTAAATTCCGCCCTTCCCGACCGAAACTACTGTCTTCCCATGATTCGAACCTAGAAATATTTGCGTTTAACACGATGCTACGTTGATATGGGACGCCATTGAGCTGGGAATCCCGTTTAGTAAAGCTTTTGAGTAGAGAGTGATAAACAACCAAATCGGTTTAAAGTTTTATTAAAGCATTTGAGCTTCGTCGAGACAATAACTAATTAGGAATAAATACATTATCTAGGACGTAATAAAACTATCTTAGCTGACAGGTATAATTGTTTCGATTAGCTTTGAAGATGCGTCCGTTCGTACAATATAATTGTACTAGTAATGGTATCAGGATCCACCCGCATTAACAATTCCCACAGCTGGGACTAAGGTTCTTACTTACGTAATAAGGTTGCCCATAAATTAAAAATTCTATAAGCCTTTGAGCCTTCCTTCGTCATGGTCATATTACTTAGTAATATTTGTGTGTCTTCTTCCATAATAGTCTGATGTCACATATTTACCAATTTATCTAAAAGTTTGTATATGAAGGCAGTTCCGTAAATATTGCTATTTGAATATAGCAGTGACGTCATTTATATCCCCCCCATCTGTTCACCCAGTCACATTTCGTCTATGTCGTTTTTTAACAAGAAAACTGATTATGGGTGGTTCCTTATACCTCTTATTCTATAACTGTTATATCTTAGCAATTTTCATTAATCTAACTAGTAACCAGACAATTTCAATTATCAGATTAATGTAAGGCCCGCGTTATTGCTCTATAAACGATCGTATAAATAAATATATTTATACTAGAAAAACTACGTCTATCAGTAAAAACAAGAACACTAACATAGTATATGTCTGTTTGATCTATTTAGTCAAGTATAAGAGTACGTATTGATTAAATTATAACATATCAAAGTTTCATGATGATCATTAATGGCGAAACGTCGACGACCATTTCTCAATTACGACGGTCGAACACAAGTTGCTTTTTAATCAGCGATTTTATCAAATTTTACATATGTTTGCAATTATTATATTCGACATTATATATAGTCTAGCTCGTCTTCCCACCCTCGAAGCATATCTCGTGAAGGTAATCTTTTATGACGTATTAAATAACAATATCCCTTCTTCGCTAAAATATGCTTAAGTGTATGTACAGTGACTTTGCAACAAAAACACAAGTATTATGTTTACATAAACTTGTAACAAATGAAATACAAACTTAACTGGCACGATTATGAAACATTATTAATGTGTTAAAAGTTTCGTTTTGTACAAAAAAAATATGATGAAGTAGGTATGCTTCTTATTAAATGTTATTGAAAGCAAACAACAATGGGATTAATATAATCACTGTGATTTATAAACATTCGGTCTTAGAGTGATACCCTGCTTTACGCGAGAGGTACATTCTGCAAAAAATAACGTTTAATGATTTAAAAAAAGTCGTAGTACGGGAAATCCCCAATTCTTCAACCAGAATGTTTATAGGATTCGACTCGTCCGGCCAAAACAATTTAATTATTGCTTAAACACAGGTGCGAGGCAATCGAAGGTCTAGTTAAAATTTAAGTTATAGTGGAGTATATACAGTTCAAAGCATTTCAACGTATTCTTTAAAAAGATAATAAAACTCACGAATAAAAAGAAATGTAGTTTAATTACGTAAACCGACGTCTAAACTTGCATATAGCAGGACAAATGTTTATAAATTAAACGCAACTTAAATCTACCTTATAGCTATAAAACTATATTAAATCAGACCGTGTCGTTTCTTATATTCTTCGAGATTGAGGGAACGCTTGGGGCCCGTTTCTTTCACTTTTGTTGTTATTTGTTTCGGTTGACTTGTAACTGTTTCTAGAAAAAGAAAATCTCTTAGTCTTAAGTTTAAAAAGTCTGAGTCGAGACTAATGATGAGCAAGAAAATTAAAAATTAGAAACCTTGTATATTCGGATACGTTATTTAAGAATTAAGTTTGGGAATGTACTTACTGGGTATGGGCAGGTCGATATCGATATTGATATCAAAGTCGTGCAAAGAGTAGAGGCTGTTGCTGTCTGTTGCACTTTTATCGCGCGCTTTCGACACGTCCACTTCGGTCTGATGCTGTTGCTGGAAATTTACAACAATACAATACACTTCATAACGCGCCCCATATAATATATACACTAGAAATGCCACAAACTGACACTAAATACTTTGAAAAGAGCTTAAGATAAAGAATGGAATGTATGAATTGAAAGTCTATTAGATCGAAAAAAATTGGCGTCACTTGAACTGGCATCCACAGCGATCCGTGCTGCATCTTAAACCAATGAGGCTACTGTGTTCAATTGGTCTGAATCTGGGTGCATGTTTTCAAAAGAAACGGGTATGCCTGATCAAGCATGCCAGGCAACCCAAAGGTTGTAGCTGAGAGCTCGCAACCATTGTTTTTCAACTCGTCACATAATTATATTTCAAATGACGTAAAATTATTAAATATTGCAGGGCGAATGGCGGGCGATATAATCGTGGGACACTGTCGATGGCTACAGCTAATGTAATCACCGCTTAATAATCCAACCTCCAAGATCATCTTAAATAAGTAAAACTCAATAACCCCTCCTGCCCCCAAAGTGCTTAAAATGAACACGAACGTCATATATGTACACGCAAGCAGCCTCCAAGTCAAGTTCTTTATATTTGACTAACTTGGAACAACAAAAGAACGAGGTATTTAGATGGATTTCTTATAGCTTCTACTTACCATCAACCTCTCCTTCTCTTGTCGTTCTCTGATCGCCTTCTGCTCTTCGTCTCTTTGTTTCTGCGCTTCAACTTCTTCTTCTTGAAGTTTTTCTGGGTCCTGGAAAAGTTTTTATTTATAATGTATTGACGTATATATATATATGATGACGTATATAATGTATCGTGTTGTATTGCGTTTGCCTCGTGAGGGCTATATCGAAATGAATTTCGTACCTGACTTCTACCACCTTGGTGTGATTTGAAGTTCATCACCGGCTTCGTGTGTCGCCGTGTGAAGGGATCGTCTACCTTCTTTCCTTTGTTTGCTTTCAACTGTAAATATTATATAAAAAATAATTACATCTTCTTAACAATAGAGAAGAACAGACAAGCATGAGCTTCGCTTGATGGAGGATGAATTAATTAAACTTAAACTACGTGAAGACTGTAAAATTAAACTTGGCGACAAAAGGAGTGACGGCGAGTTTCTTGCCAGTTCTTCTCGTTCCTTCTACGCCCTTGATTCGATTTGAGAACTGGTAGTGAATGTAAATTTAGTTTTAGTTTTTAACTATTAGTTTATAAGTGTACCTAACCTAAAAATGACTTGAAAGAGTGTCATTAGGACATGCACTCAAGATAACACTACAGCTTATACTTGATCAAGTTGAGGAAACCAATTCAGAAACAGAATATTTAAAAACACTCCAGAAATTTTTACAACAATACCTCTTCCATGATAGCCTTCTCTGCCGTCTCTACATTAAGTTTCCTATTCCTATTGTTTATGTACGATATACTCTGTATAGATGACGTCCTGGTTTTGTCCAATTGGTTAGCTCTGTCTTCTAATTCTTGTATTTTAGAATTTAAATCCATAACTAATTCTTCATCACCCCTGAAAATTTGTTATTACTTTGTAATATATGATGATATGAGGGTAGTTATATTTTCACGTATTTATAAGAACACTAACATTGAGACTAATTTTAATAGAATACTTTCTCGGGTTATATTTACTCAACAAACTTCTACTCGACTATAATACACCATAACCAGTATAAAATATATATAGCCTTATAAGTTTACCATACCATAAAAGTGTTTTATTTAAATGTGTACTACAGACAGCTTCTACTCTATATTTTAATGTTTTGGCGGCAAAATACCTCAATTGTGCAACATCTCTTTCTTTCATGAGTTGCGTCTTCTTCATGGCGTAGTTAGTGGGGTGTGATCTGAATCTTTCCTTTTCCGCTACAATTTTTTCTATATCTTCTTCCTATGTGAATAAGAAAAATTTTATTTTTACCTGAAACTGAGGCCACTAGATGCCTAACTGCAATTTTATAATTTGACTTAGTTAAGTTATGTTAATCTACAAGAGCACAGAGACCGTGTTAAAATAATTCTTACACAAATACTAGTACAAATTCATTTTCGCCTAAGTTAATTGCGCATTTTAATTTCCATCCTTCTTGGAAATCATGTTTTAAGCCACTCTGCCACTAGTGGCCTCAATTCTTCTTTACTTTCTTCTCAAATACTAACCTTAAATTCGTACATTAATGCGTCTTTAACTTCGCTGATTTTAGACCGAACAAATTCCATGGTGGGAGGTTTTTTATTGGCGTCTTTGATAGCTTTGAACCACTTCTGAAATTCTGATTCTGTGAATTCCTAGAAGAGAGGGCACACATTTGACAATTGACATTTAGTCACATCTAGTTCATTATAATTTCGCGTATTAGTTTAAAAATACTCACTTGATTACTAACAAATTCTAATCTAAAAACTCTATCCTGAGTCCCGTGTCTGAGTTTCAGTCCTTTATTTGTCCTAGTATTACCTAAATTGTACACTTTCGCCGTTTCGTAAACATCTATTATTTCTGCAACCTAAAAAAAAATACAAACTAATCTATTGAAAACTTTAATACTTTTACATATGATGGTGTTATAGAGATTAAAAATCGAAAAAATTGAAGTGCGCATAATTACAATTAATTATGCGCGAGAGGTGCATGAATCAATGATTTGAAAAAATTCGACGATGAGGTGTGGGACTCGGTAGGTTAATTGGTTAAGGCAACAGCACGGAACACTGACGATGTCGGTTCAAGTCCTGCCCGAGTCGAATTTTTTTTCAATTTATTATCGATCCTTTAATACTAATATTGTAAAGCTGTTTGTTGGTTTCTTTGAACTCGCAAAATCTTTTTGTTTTGGTCTGTAACCGATTATTAAGGATGGCTGTAGATAAAAATATGTAATTCAAATTGTAACTATTTTCTTTACATAAATAGCTTTTCAAGCAGACACAGTTTTGTGCCTTTTTGAAAATTGATCAGATTTGTTTGCAACAATTTTGCCCCAATTCATTCAACTCTCGCAAGTAATGCTATGATTAACCATCAAATAGTGACTGTCAATATAATACATAAAAATATTATTATTGTATTTTTTATTACTCACTCTATACACTGGATTTCCGTTATTATTCCCGATTCCGATCCTAACAAAACATCCCGTGACGACGCGAGCAAAGAAAGGGAGGTGAACTAGTCTTTCTAATTTGAACCTGCAAGAAATACAAAATATACATAGGTATATAATGATAGTTGTGTTACACGCAATGTCTGTTTTATGAAATAATATTTGCAAGGTCTATGGAATATCCTATCGACTTATTAATGTCCCATTGTTGGACACAGGGCTCTGGCATAGAAGGGGATTTTAAGAATTTTGGATTTTTTTCATCATCTCAGTCGAGTTCTCTAACCACTCACCAACAAAGCAGTTCTTGTAACTGATAATAGGCAGGTTACACATCCAAATGTTTCCATCCCCGTATCATGTAGCTACAAGTGAAGGTCTAATCTCTTACCTGCTCAGCCTGAGTTTGTTTATCTGTTCCTTCGTATCAGCAAATTTGACTTCCTCTTGTTCTCTTTCGCGAGGTGCAGGCTCCTCACCAGATGATGAAGAAGAGCTGCTTGAACTACGACGACCTGAAAATATTCAGGATTTTTTAAATTGTCTGAAGTCAAGTCTGTATTGTAACTTAAGAAATCCACCCAGTCCTTAATCGTCGTTGCTAGTCGTTGTCACAGATGACACCACCAGACAGCTTTCATATTTAAAATCACCCACTGATTATTAAGCATTGCAATTAAACCAACGAGCCGTTTACTTTATCACATAGAATTAGAAAATTACGTTTTATTCTTGTACCTTGAGACTTATTATCATCTGAATCGCTGCCCGAGTCGTCAGAGTAAATATCGGATGCCTTTAACTTGACACTCTGCTTGCTGGTACCGCCTATTATTTCCGCATCAGCTTCCTGTATTAACAAAAATAATATTATAAACTTGATATTAAGTAATTACAATACTTATGAATTTAACATCAACATTGAAACTACATAAACATACGAATATACGAAGAAAATAAGACTGTTCTTCTAAAATTAATCAAAAACAAAATCTGTACTATAAAACTGGCACGCAACAAGGATATAACAACACAAAAATAAAATAATACAAAAAATCAATACACATATGCACCATCTAGTACTTATGTGTACATACATTTGACCAATTTGGTATTAAGACCAAGATAGACTAGGTAACTACCTTCACAATTATATTTTATTTATTTATTTAGGAAATTAAACAGTGTTGTCCCTAACGAAACCCCCTATATTGTGTTGTTTGATCTGTCTTTGACATTTCTTAATGTAATCATATAAGTAAATATCACTAATATTATACACGTGAAAGTTTGTATATGTGGATGGATGTTTGTTACTCTTTCACGCAAAAACTACTGAATGGACTTCAATTAAACTTTCAAATAATATGCATCTACGTAATCCTAATCCTGCGTAGACGAAGTCGCGGGCACCAGCTAGTTTATTATATATTCGTTAATAAATGTCTGAAAACCGTAGATTTCTCATGCGTTACTCACGTCTTCCTCTTCTTTATCCTTCTTCTCCTCTTCCATTCGCTTCCTCTGCTTGTGCTCGGTGAGTTTAGCTCTGGCGTCTCGTTGGGCCCTGAGCGCAGCCATCGCGTTGACACGTTTGTCGTCAACGTTGCGTTTCCTTTCACTCTTAGCACCAAAAAGTGGTGAACCAGATCTTTCCATCATGCGATCTATAAAGAGAAAAAATAACTTTTAACTTTCATGATCCTTAATCACATTTGTATTACAATAACGTTACTTCATTTACCATCAAGCCGTGATTCCCAGCTTAAATTTACTCCTCTAGCAATGAAAAAGGAGAGGAAGAAAATCGTAATTCCGTCCGGGTCAGAACCACTGTTCTTAGATGAATACCTGTAAGTTTAATGGGATTGTTGTGGATTACGAATAGATAATGACAATAATTTGAGGTAGGACTCATTTACCACAGGTGGCGACCTAATTAAATAAATTAATTGCATCTCAACTAATTTATAATGGTATTTCAATGTGTACATAAGTATCACTCACCACCATCCTTAATATCATCGGGTATTTCTCCAGGACTGGGAGGTGGTTTTTCTTTTATTTTCTCTTCCTCCTTTGGTTCTTCTACATCGGATTCTAAACAAAAAAAAAATTGGAATATGTACTTGTCTCCTTATGATTTTTCACATTCCCAGCTTTTAAGCATATGCAAAATTATTATGAACTTTAAAATCTATAAGATCAATGAATTACACAGGCGGAACTTGAACTGGCATCCACAGTGATCCATGCTACTATTCTAACCAATAGAAGTACGGTGTCTTGCTTGTCATCATTGAATTTCTTCAACCTCAACAATAATACTTGGCACTTCACGTTCGACCAGTGTCAAAGATTATTTTGAATCCTAATGGATTTAATTAATGAAAAATAATATTTTTAAGGAATATCTGAGTTATATATGTTATAAAGTAGTAATTACTATGTTTTTCATTGTTGGCCTTCTCTCGTTCCCTGGCTTCGGCCTCCTTCTGTGCTTGTAGTTTAGCCCTTTGAGCTCGTAGCGCGCGACGTTGCTTGCGCCTGTCCCTTCGCCTCGCCAGCTCACCTGGAGAAGCACCACGCTCGGCCGCTGATCGACGAGCCAATCGCAGCTTGCGTTCTATTTCCCATCTATTTATAAAAGTTTATTGTGATGTAACAAAAACTTGCCTTTATATACCGACAACATACCTTCAATCAAATAACAAGACTAGAGAAAGATAAATTTCATATAAGTAACATTTGTAAAATAATAATTTTGAAACATTCTCCTCTGTTGTGTTCCCATGATTTGCCATCATTGACATGGATTAAAATAGTGTCTGCGATAGTTTAAGCAAGTAACGAAAATGTATTTGTTAAACTTATTTGAAAAATTATTTTAACTACGGCCCGACATTTCAGCGTACAAATTACAACGGAACAGATGACGCTAGTGTGGCAGTTTTTATTTTGACACTAGAGAAAACGTGTAGAGAAAAATGTATGTATAAAATGCCAATCTTCGTGAGTACAACTTGTTTTTTTATATTTCTACTGAGAGTTACAATGAGAATCTAAAAAATAGCTTGCCTTGTCTTCATAAGATCCCTACGTTCAATACGCTTGAAAATTTCTTGTTCCCTTTCCTTTTCCGACATAGCGGCTAAACGAGCTCTGTCCTCTTCATCACCCATAAGGTTCTCATCATATCTGAAAATAACCCCATTTATAAATGATACAGCCTTAGTTTTCTGAATTTCTTAAATGTGCAATAAAATTTGCCTCTTGTGCTTAAAACACTACCATATTTCTAATTGGCCCTTTTTAAAACCCCGTTTTTACCCTGAAAGAAATGCTATTAAGATCCAATTATACAATCAGACCTGCAACAAGTTCATCTTTCAATACATAGAGAACACATTTTCGGTTTTCGGCCATTCTGATTTTCTCTAGCTTTTTTTATGCTCCTTAACCTCAGACCATAAAATAATCGAACTCACCCATCATCAAACTCTTCTTCAGAATCAACGGAATCATTGTCTGATGAATGTGAAGATACTTCACCTAAAAATATACAACAAAAATTAAATCCACCTTGAGAGCAATAAATTGATAATAGATTGTAAGCCCTAAGCACAAAGTCCTATTAAAATGGTAAGAATAAGACGTATCAGATTTGTTTAAATTGAGCTAATCAAATCATAGAATTTAAATAAAATTTATACAGATTCAGAAGTCAGGTTTTGCAACACTCAGCATTTTTATTAAATAATTTTCTCACCTTCTTCAGGTTCACTGTAAACCTCCTTTTTCTTTCCCGATCCAGAACTGTCAACACTCATTCTCATATCTTTCTCAACTTTTTTTTTCTCCTCAGGCTTGTCTGCCTTTTTCCTGTCCTCGACTTTCTCAACTTTTTTCCTATCTTCTTCTGAAGAACTCTTCCGAGTTGGTTTTGGTGGATTTTTATTTTGTGATGTATCACTTTCAGCATCACTGTTTGAATCTGAATCCGATGATGACGAGGATTTATCTATAAAAAGTTATTCAATTAAATACTCTGTAAAATTATAATATTATAGTGAAAGATAGATCAAAATTATAAAAAGAAACTAAAATAAAACTGTGCTACTGCTGTAACATGCTATTCATATGTAAACAGAGAAGTTTTATGGTGGTAAGTGGTATTTTTAAAATGATTTCTTAAACTCCTGTCAATGTCAAGCCACTGTTTCACAACTTAACATAGGAAAAATCATTTCAAGTCTTCTTACCTTCCTTCTTTTCATCTTCATCCCAATCTGACTCGCTGTCTGAAGATTTACCTTTGGATTTGGCTTGGGGTGGAGATTCACCGGGTTTTTTCTTCTTTTTGGCTAAGTTGAGAAATTGCTGCAAAAAAAAACAAGATTTTGAACTTATTATTTCTTCTCTTCCTTGGAGTATATGATGATTATAGACAGTTATGTATAAACGCAGGTAGCGATAGGAATATGTAACGCATAATATGGTGACATGAAAAGGTCAATAACTTAGATGTTGATCTTAAAATGATTGTACATTACGGTTTCAAAACTTTCTACTGTTATGGAAAAGAGGTTATGTAGAGGATTTTGGTATTTTATTTTTAAAATGAGTCATGCTAAAAGGAGGGCGTCGTAGCATTATTTTTATACAAAGACAACATAACATAGAAATGGCGTTTAATATTTTGTGATCACTTTCTCAAAGCATTATACAATGGAGTTTTAGGATTTTGAGTTGTTTGATATTAAAGAGATAGTTTTCTTTATCAACATACGCAATAAAATCTAAATTGAATGTATGATATCCAAACGTAAACTTGTTTGTATGAAATTCTTTGAATACGTACAGAGTCTAAATCAGAACATTCGCTGCTGGAATCAGAATCAATTAAAGGTTTATTTTTCCTTTTAGCCATGCTGTTTTATTCACACAATTTGTTTTGGATACAATAATACGACTGTACAATTCTCTTTTTACGTTACGAGCACATATGAATTAGTGTAGTGATTGGTGCGACAGCGTATACAGAGATTGTAAACTAGCCAAAGACTACAGAGAAAAATTATGAATTGGGTTAGTGATGTATGTATATATTTATTTTTTATTGTTATAAATTAAATAAATAAAATTAAGAGAAATATTACTGGTTATACCATTATATAATCGTATAAGTTATTTAACAATAGTATTTCATTGCGATAATATTAAGTTACAATCTAAATTATTTCATAAAATTTTGTCTGTGGACCTAGCTCATAGATTGTAATATGTCACTATCACAAGTCACAAGTCCGTCAAATGTGTCAAACGCCGTGCAACTTTTTACAACCATAATACGGGTGTTTATTGTGCGTATCATATATTAAACAAAATTTTAAATTGATTCCCCATTTAATTTGAATCAGGTTTATTATTTAATAAGTGTTATATCATATATATGATCCGCATCTCTATCAACTTATAGAATACTAAAACATTTAAGAAAAGTGTTAGTAACGGTTCTCCGTTACTTTTACAAAAGTCGTATTATGCCTCACGATTTAAAGAGCCTGGCTGCCAGGAAAGCGTTAATGGTTTGTATAAATTAGAAACTTTTCACACTCTATCAATCTAATTCATATATATGGTAATATGGGATTAAATTATTCTCGAAAGTTAGTTCCCTTGTATTCTCTTGGTTAGCAATTGCTACAAAGCCTATTTAGTTTTACAATATATTATTGCAAAGTAAGGAAAAAGGAAATGGACAAAATTATTATATCTTTATGTTGATAATGGTTAAATTATTATTTAGTTCGTACATAAGCAGCTACGCTCTAGAAATTGCCATGTTGATGACTCAGCATAAAATCTTATTGATCATGGCTGCTATGCTAGGCTATGCTGATGAGAAATAGAATTGTTTGTTTAAGTTTAGAGTAGTTATCTATCACAGTGGCTTAAGATAAATGGAATACAGTAATAATAAATAATAGATGAATAAAAATAAATATGCAACTAAATATTATTTATTTTAAATTCTAGGCTCCACTTTCACCAACCCCTTGTGCTGAGATTAGTGATGATGAACTGGTTTCAATATCTGTCAGAGATCTAAATCGTCAATTGAAGATGCGAGGATTGACACGGGACCAAATTGTTAGGTATAACAATACTATTATTGTTTATTAGGAATACAGATTAGTCTACATCAATTGCTGGCCAATTGCCCATATTTATAACATTCCTCATTTTAATTATATACGCAAAATTTTCACAATTCAAACTTTAATTACCATGCTGGTTGGTTCGCAGATGAATGTCATCAATTTTGATATTATCTTGCTTATTGTTACTTGTAATTTTCTTACATTTTTAAAACAATTATTACAACTATTGAAACATTAATTATATTAATCTACTGAGCAATATTGGTGGCAAATAGTAAAATGAAAAAAAACACTTACTCTTTAAACACAATGAGCTTGTGACCAAGTCAATACTGCTGAAACATACTGAACGCACAATCCTTCAAATGCCAGCATTTAGTTACTAATAAGTAATATGTTTGCAAATGAAACCGTTATAAGTGTTTTATTTATATCTTGTGTGTTTTTGTATTTAAATGAGAGACAACTCTACTATTTGAGTCCACTGAAGCAATTAAACAAATTTCAATAATGTTATCAATCTACAGAATGAAGCAGAGACGTCGCACGTTGAAAAATCGTGGTTATGCAGCCTCGTGTCGCATCAAACGAATAGAGCAGAAGGATGAACTTGAGACGGAAAAAAGTCAGGTCAGTATTAAGTCAGTCTCAGTTTATTGTTGAGACTTTGCTGGCTATTTCTCTGTTAAGAGCATATTGACAGGGGGGTGTCAAAATCATATTAAATTGAGACAGCAAAAATTTCACAGATTATGTATTTCTGCTGGAACTATAGATGCATATAAAATAGTTCTAAATAGTACAAAGTACGACGTTTGAGTGAAAGGCTCCCCTTGACCACCAAGCAGCCGAAACGTCGGGCCGAAGTTAAAAATCATTTTCAAATAAGTTTAACTAATATATCGCGTTTTAAACCGTTAAAGTGTTTTATTTAAATGACTGGAGTATTCCACCTTTCATCAACCCTATACTTGTTTGTCATCTACCATAAAGGACTATAATAATGGAGTTATTGCCTCTTTTAGGAATGGCATGACATGGAAGCAATGCAAGACGAAAACAACAGAATTCGAGAAGAACTTGAAGCATTAAGGTCTAAATATGACGCACTGAAAAGGTTTGCCACCATGAAGAGAATTCCTCTCCCGAGTGATCTTGACACAATGCCATAAGAGTTTCCCGCCATTTGAAATTCACAATTCTGGTTGTTGTATAGAACATATTTGTATGCCATATTTTTTAATATTAATTATTGGATTTTATATTAGAATTGAATTTAAGGTATATTATTATTTTATTATATTATTTTAATTATTTGTCTCCTATGAAATTATGCTGATTCATCTGTATGACAAATTGTGTCAGTATGTATACCTAACATATATTTCCCTATAAATATTTTTATAACCATTATATGTTTGTACAAAAACCGAAACGGAAGGGTAAAATAGATTATTTCCTTTATTAATTATACGTAATTTTTAGCCTAACATTTAATTAAGATAATATAGAAAGTAAACTACATTTATTTCACATAGTTATGTAATATGTTATTATGTTTGTTGATAAAAAATTAAATGAATAAGACATATTAAGTTTTATTTAATAACTATACCATTTAGATACCATTAGATACCCATTTGCAGATATTTTTACATGTAGGAAGTAGGAAGTAAGGAAGGTGTAAAGAGAGGATATTTAGTTTAGTTTTAATTTATCAACCGCCTCTGTAGCCAAATAGTTAAACGTATTGCCTAACATGTCGTTAAGCGCGAGAGGTCCTGGGTTCGCATCCCCGGGAAACAAAAATTGTTTCGATCAGGCGGGGCACAGATCAACTACTTGCCTGTTAGAGGACAGATCAGTGAAACGGACACAGTAATGTGTTCGCCCCATGCCCCACGAGGGGGAAACGGGATTTCACACACAAGTTATCACCTATGTTCCTGCTATATTCGCATATTTTTATCTATATTAATATTATAAAGCTGATGAGTTCGTTTGCTGGTTTGAACGCGCTTATCTCAGAAACTACTGGTTTGAGTTAATTTTCTGTCTGGATAGGCTAATTATATCAAGCAACTGCAGAAGAAACACTGGGAAATGTGGACAAAATGGGGAAGACATTAATTTTTGAAAACAATTTAAGATACCCAAAAAATAAATATAGATGAATGATTCTTCTTTAGATTATCTAAAAAAATATCCGCGACAGAATTAAGCTGGTGATAAAATATAGCTGAGATCGCAACAAGGAAAATTTGAATTTCGTTCAAGTAATCTGTAGAGTGAAAGGTGCTCTAAGAAAATTTTGTGATTTTCCGGGACGTATAAAATGCTGTTAATTTAATACTGAAGTACGAGTATATTTAGGTTCAGGACTACAGTAACTCTATTGGCTAGGGCAACAGCATGGAACACTGACGATGCCGGTTCAAGTCCTGTCCGAGTCGAAAATTTTTCCAATTTATTTTCGATTTTTAATAAATATACTGTTAGTCTTTATAAATATATACAAATTACGAAACGATCACGCCGCAATCTTTAACTTTTTAATAAGAGCAACAATTAATAACGTGCAATAACATGTAAGAAATATTAAAGTTTTCTAGACTGTATGTTTTAATTAAGTATGTTTATAATATTAAATAAATCTATTTTTTTATATAAGTTGTGCGTATATAATTCCCCTGTCTAGGTAAATGTAAAAATTTACGTATAATAATTTTAGTTCAGTGGATAGTGGGCCGATTCCAATACCTTATAAATCTTTGTGATTAATTAAAATCTGAAAGTTTAAATTACCTATGTCCAATGTTGACTCTGCAGGTTCTAATTTCTATAGTTTACGCAAGTAGTACACATTTAAATAAAACACTCTAACGGTTTAAAACGCGATATATTAGTTAAACTTATTTGAATGATTTTTAACTTCGGTCCGACGTTTCGGATGCTTTGCAGCAGCTGTGGTCACGGGGAGACCTAAGTTTAACAAATATATCGCGTTTTAAACCGTTAAAGTGTTTCATTTAAACTGCAGGTTCTCATTTAACCTGACCGGTATTCGAAGCCTAGTCCACGTTTACGACTACTAACAAATCAGTTAGCATAACAAGTTTTATATTGTATACGACAAAGTGTTATTATTATCCCACTATGAATTTATTGTTCTTGCATACAAAATATTTGCCAATAGATGACAGAACAGATGCGGAAAATAGGAAAACAGATAAAACACACAATAAAAGACAAAGCATAATAAATAAATAGAGGAGAGAAATAAAGTAATTTGTCTTTGCCCGCTCCGTTGCTGGCTGCAAAGACTGTGAACTTGACCGTTTGGCAGTATCGACGAAATGTTGATACACTTAGAAGATCTAATTTGTATAACTGATTTATGTTGTCGCATTTTTATTTGTTTGTGACCTAGTGACCGTTTATTGAAAAACCAACCTCAATACATAATAATAACATACTAAATAATTATACTATGCAATAGATACTTAAATGAAGGTTGTCCTTTATATTATTTACAGCTTAAACAAGTCGATTTTTCTGTCTATGTTTTATGTATATATATTGTTTTGATTATAATCTTGTCATTTTCTTAGCTGAGTTTTATTCGAGCTTCACATGTCACAATATGATGATTATATGAACATATTTATTTATTTTATTTATTTCAGCTTTATTACTTCTAATTAACACGTAAAATACAAAAGATGAAAGTAAAGGCGGCCTTATCGCTAAGCCGCGGTCTCTTCCAGGCAACCTGAAGTACAAGAGAAAAAAAGAAAATATATTAAAATTATCGTAAATTGTGGAATGTAGGTCTTATGAACAATGTAAACGGTATGATCGAAGATATTTTCCAAGTCTCTAGTCACCGTGGTGTTTCACCGGTAACAAATGATTGTTTAGAAGCATTGCGATATTATTAATTAGTTCCTTTCAAAAATATTTATCGCATACAAAGAGCTTCTTATCAAATTCTTTCTGGGGTAATTAGCTGAATTCGGCTTTAATTATGTCGAAATTTATCAATCACAAAAGTTTTTATAGTTGATACGGAGAATTTAGTAAACTACGTGTCATAATTAAATCTTAGATGAAAGATAGTTCTTAGTTATTTTGTATTACTTATTGCCTTGATCTAAATCGTGATAAGCTTTAAGTTATACTTTCGTTAGACCAATTATTTTTCTACAAAATGTTGACATTAATGATGATGAAAATTTTGAAACCTAATAGAGTGATAGAAATTTCTGTCACTATGCCATAAAAGGAAACTTATAATAGATAATCGAAATTTCTAACTACTAAAATATAATTCGAGATAACAAACGACTATCTAGTTTATACGAAGAATAGATCTCGCCTAACTGCCTAGTACAACTAAGAACAATGAAGTATAATTAAATCAATTAATCTATTCTAATATATAAAGTGGTGAGTTAGTTTGTTTGTATGTTTGAACGCGTTAATCTCAGGGACTACTGCTCGGTATTAAAAAAATATTTTTGTGTTGGTTAGAGCATGTATCGGTAAGGTTATTAAATATTAGGCTATGAAACTTCGCGCTGAGACTAATAGGAGCAAAGTAAAAGCGGCAAATGTGGAGAGAACGGGGAAAATTATTCACCTTTGTGGGTATTCGTTGCGTACGCAGCGAAAACGGTTCAAGATACCCAAAAAATATGTATGAAACAATGATTTCTCTTACAATGATCTAAAAAGAAGTACGAGAAACTATATGTCTATCTTCTAAGATTTACTCGTCGCTCAAAATAACTATACGCGGACGAAGTCGCTGACACAGCTAGTATTAGATAAAGATATGGATAGTGACAATATTCGTCCAGAACAATAAATTATATTTTGAATTACATACATTGTACTAGCTGACCCGGCAAACGTTTTTCTTGCCATATAATGTAATTAGACGAAATTTGACTTCGTGATAAAAAAATAGACATAACTGTGGCGGACACATTTTTTTTTATATCTTGCACCGTTTTTGCAGCGCAAAGGAAACCCTCAAAGATGAATAATTTACCCCTTTCTTCCACATTTCCCACTCTTTCTTCGCTCGTATTGGTCGTAGCGTATTTTGTAGCCTTCCTCGATAAATGGTCAAACTAACACAAAAGTAATTCACTTCAAATCAGTAGTTCCATAGAACAAACTCTTCTTTATATTATTAGTATAGATGTGTTATCTTATCAAATCTTTCTAATCCATCAAATAATTCACCCATGTCAAATTAGCAATGTTAGTAATTTGCGGTAGGTACAACTAATGGCGGAGACAATACCTAATTTAGTGCTAACCGTAATTTTGACGGTTCCTCTGAGGTCCCAGATCAATGGTGTCTAATTAAAACGTTATATGCGGTTTTGTTTAACATTAATTAACTGCTTAGAGTCTGTGGGAATAGAGCTAATTACATTAGAGAGTTATTAGAATTGTATCAAACGGTTATATTTTTAATAAATGGAACTTTATATAACGGGTTAAAACACGATTTATTAAATAGTGAAACATTGAACAACAATATCTCAGTTGTTTTAGCATATATGTTCAACCTAAACCCACATTCCCAGTTCAATTGTTAAATGGAAGAGGTCCTGGTCTCCAATCCCGGGACACAATAATAGTTCCCGTCAGATACTCACTGGGACACTTGCCTATAGATTCAAATCTATCGGACTGGCTCTGCCCTACGAAGGGAATTGTTAAAATTTACTTTACGAAGTTGAACTTCAACTCTACATTCCGGGTTTTTCGTTGATGTTATGCAATATTCAACGGGTCGTGGCTTCGATAACCGCCGAATCTAACATGTTTGTGAGAAATTTATAACTTTTAGAAACATTTTGGTGGTAGAATATAAAAATTCGAACCACCGTCCAAAGATGAAAATGCCGTGAAGTTTGCCTCATTCTTTCGATTTCCGAATATCCAAAGCTAAATAGGTCAATAGCGTATGTTTAGATGTCATATGACTAGGGAATGTCACCTACCGTCGAGTGAACGCTATCCCTGTCTGTCTTCGCACGTATGTCGTCATATGCGATCACTTTGAACTTTTACCTATTCAAGTTAAGCGAAGCTTTTTCGTTCGAATACTCGAAAAGATTCGGAAAGCTTCCGTAACTTTTCGCGGTATTTT